CAAAAAAAGAAAACAAAGAAAGAAAGAAAAATGAAAGTGCATGAAAAAGTTAAGTTATATGAAAAATGTATAAGAGAAAACAATAAAGTACGATTGATTTCTGAAGATATTCCATTCATTCAATTTATGGTTGAAAATTAATTTTAAAATAAACAATTTTATCATAAATAAATAATTTGTTTAAAAAAAAAAAATAAATCAAGAAGAGAAAGGCTGTATTAACCACAAATAAACAAATTGAAATGATGAAAAGCTATGAATAATTCAATCATCCAAAAAAAAAAAAGAAATGATAGTATGATAAGAAAGTAAGATTCTTTAAGCTATTTATCGCTTAAATTAAATTTAATATATATTTGTCACTTATTAATTCCATTAAATGTGATACTTCTCTTCCTACTATTTATGAAATATTATAATAATAGTAGTGTTATCAGCACTTAAGATGCCAAAGTTTGAAATGATAGGGTGTTTTTTTTTTTTTTGCAAATGAATTGATAATATATCATATAGTTACAATCATTATTCTCTTCCTTATATAATTATATTTTCCATTTCTATTCTGTACCCAATTTCATTGATAAAGAAAATATGATAAAATAAATTTTATAAGCATTAAAATTGAATTTCAAAAGAAAAATTATGCAAAATGATCCATTTGAAAAGAGTGCAAATATCACTAAGAAGCCGCAAATTACAAAGTATTATGAAATGAAAATGACATTTAAAGTTTAAAGTAAAGCAAAAAATTTGATCTGACCAGTTGGTTAACTAATTAATCAATCCATTCGATCAGCTATGAAATAAGCAAGTGACATTCATCTGTTGTAATTCAAAAAATCAAACAAATGATGATGAAGGAAAGTTTGGGGCGGAATTAAAGAATCATCACATCAAATGGCATATGAAAATTTTCAGGTATTATAGCATATTTGACTTTGATCGATATTACAGGTGTTATAGCACATCACTTTGATCGATAAAATCACCAGGAGAAAAGTTGACATTATCTTAATAATTAAATCAAATGATCGATCGTACTCTAACTTACTGTATTAATATCTACCATATATCATTCTATTATTCCATAAAATTAACCCATTCTACTGTAACAGCTATCATTCTTCAGCAAATGTATTATCATCATGTACTGTAATCAGTTGTTACTTTTGCAAAAATGATCAAACAGGATTTGAATTTCAAAAAAGAAATAACAAAAGAAATCGAAAGATCAATAAGTAAACCAAATCAATCAATCGTTTCCATCACTTACTGTAAGAAAATACTTCCATTAAGCAATGTAAATAATACAGAAATGAGGAAGTTAGTAAATTTTTCAAACTAAATGAAAGAAATGATTTGGAAGGATGGAAGCAAAAAGGACTTCCCATTGTCATAAAGTTTATCGTTGTCATAGTAGAAAGAAGTATGATTGACTGGTATTCTCATCTTTCCTCCTAAATTTTCCCTCATCTCCTCAATTCAACTAACAATTCATTTAGAACTTAAACTAGAATTACAAATAACAAACACTAATAACATTTACAATTTCCTAATTGTTTAATCTCATCTTCTTAATACGAGCAAGTATAAGTTTTCAAAACTTCCACAATCAGAAATATTCCAATGATTTTAGTCATACAATATGATTTAAACGTTTAATATCGATTTATTACACTTTTTAGTTTAGCATATGGATGAAAGAGGACAAATTGGCTTCATCAAAATATTTCATTAGCTTAGCTGCATCAATGCTATTTCAATCATCGTAATCAGAACACATGCATAATTAAATTTTAGAAAGATCGATAATCAAAAAGACTTTTGGATTCTAAATCCATAATTTTCATCTGTTAAATGGATAATTTAAAGGAAGATTTTAAAAAAATTTTTTTTTTTACTTATCAGATAATAAAAAAAATATTTGTAAGGCTTTCTTTTTTCTTTTTTTTTCAAAAAAATCTCTCGTTATATATGAAAAATTGCAAGAGATTTTCCATGAATACATGAAATTATTTCGTAAATTTAAATATTCATTTATGAAAATTTTAAAAATATTGCAATTAAAATAAGGAAATGAAAGGAAAGAGATGAGAGAGAGAGAGAGAGAGAGAGAGAGAGAATATGAATATGTCAATATATTCAAACAATATAATTGAAGTTACTTCACCTTCTTTCTATAAATAGCTCAATTTTGCTAATGATCGATGAATGTTTCATTGGATAGTATAAAATATTTCATGAGAAGGACAAATGCAATAATGATGATCTAAAATTTACTGATTACTGTAATGTAAATAATTTATGTATGTGATTAGAAGTGCTGATGATTAAAATTTAAAAAAAAAAAATAACATTCATATACAATAACAATAACACATAATGTTAGGGAATATTAAATATAAAAATTCATCAAATAAGTAATTAAGTTGAATAAAAAAAATTTTGTTTTAATTGTATAAATTAAAATTGATGCTAAAATAAGTATATGTGAATAGTAATGCTAAAATATAATTCATAAAAATTTATTAAATTTTTGAGAAAAAAATTTCATCATTTTGATTTCAAGAATTACTGAAAAATATAGCTTAAAAATATGTCTATTAATAATGTTAAATTTTTCTCGTTAACAATAAAATCCTATCCAAATTATTAAATTTTCCATTAATAAAATACTAGCAAATGTTACTATTTGAATAATTTCAGATTATTTAAAAATAAAATATTAATATGATAATTTCAAATATTTCCTTTCATCATTTCATGTCTGATATTTTTGATAAAACCAATTTGATCATCCTATCCTTTAATCATTCCTCTTGCATTTTGCATTTATCTTGAAATTGATACATATGGATGATAACGTCATATGATCCAAAATGATATCATTTGTCTTAATGCAGCTATTGCTTTTATCAATCATATCTCTTATTATAATCGTTCAAATTTTGTCGCAGATACGGTAAAATTAATTCTCTTGCAAATTTAACATAAAAAAATAAACCAAATAAAAAGAATGTAATAAAATTCATTTTTAATATATACATATATTTTTTTTTAACAAATCGATAAATTTTTCTATTATAACTTTCATACAATTTTATGCATTACTATGTAAGATAAAAATAAAAAAAAGAAAAAGAAAAAGGAAAAACCAAATTGAAAATATTTTTTAAAAAATATTTAAATAAAATATGCAAGCATGAAAATAAATTCACTAATACTTTGAGATAGAGTAATTGATAAGAAAAGAAAAAAGATGTCAATAAAAGTATGAAGAGACATAAAGTGGAGGAAAGAATATTTGATGTTTGAATTCGATAAGTGGTAGCTTTTTTATTTGAGATTTGTGATGAAGTTTATATTATTACTGCCCGGAATACCACTTAACATACAAACTCATTTCCCTAATTTATTTACAATTTATCGAGAAAATGATGGGCTGTGATCGAAAAACTAGTAATAATACTTCTCAATTATAATATCTTCTTCCATTTCTAAAATGAAAATGAATGGGATATATTTGAAGATATCGTAATTGATTAGATTAAAATATAAATCAAACTTTTTATGTTAATTTTAATCCTCTATTATATTTGAATTATTTCTAATCAGAAATTTCGATTTTTTGATAAATATATTAGTGATATTAGTGATATATTTTGATAAATATATTAGTGATATTAGTGATATATTAGTGATATTGATAAATATATTAGTGATATTTATAACAATCAGTTATATCATTTCAATATTCCGGAATTTATTGATTCATTATGCAAATTATCCGATAAATTCCATACTAAATGCTTAAAAGTTGAACTATTTTCTATTCCATTTTTCAAATTCTAAAATAGTGCTAACTTTTTGTAAAATCGAATTATTCAATTGATTTATTAGCAAGTTAATCCCCATCTAATGGTTTTTTTTTATTATTTGCTTAAAAAATCGTCAATCAATCACTCGGATTTCTATTCAAAATACTACCAATGGTACTAATATAAAACAAAAAATTCTAAATGGATGAAATGGATTTGAAGTGTTCTAAAAAAATAATTTAACTGGGAAATTAATTTTTAAAAAAAAGTTTTGCTTAAATTCTGATAAAAATACATCATCCTTTCCTTATTAACACTTCTTATACTATTAATGATGATTTTCTTTTTTCAATAATTTTACAAAGAAAAATAATTTTTGTTTTAAATTTGAACAGTATCGATATTAATTTGCTAAAATAAATTTTGTATTAATTATGAGAAATAAAGTTTACATTCAAGTTTATAAGTCTAAAAATCAATATGATAAAAGAAAGTTATCAGATTCGAATTTCTCAAACAATTTCCAATATGATCAATGGAAGCGCTTTAGCAATTATGATAAAATGAATTTTCAAACTGAAAATATCAGATTATAAATTTCGATAAATGTTCCAACATTGAATCATTCAAAATTTAACTAATTTTATCCCAAAATTGGATATGCCAATAATGAAATCGTTAAAAAGAATAAAATTACTAAAATTAATTTTAATGAAATGTTTGAGTTAATATATGACATGCATAATAAATCAGTAATACTACCCTAACTATAACAACTATGACAGACTTATTTGCCATCTACTATATCAATTCGATTTTGAAATATGCCTGATGGATAAATTTATGTAAAATATATATATATATATATATATATATATGTCTGTCCACTCTTTTCAATATCATATATGTGTTTGTCCATCTGTTCAACACCAATAACTCTATTATAGGAAAATACAAACTCTTGGACAATTGTCCATGAATCATTGCTATTTATTGCTATTATTTCTATACTAAATCCTATTTCGTACTTCCAATTTTCTCCATAATACTCTACCATATTTATCTTTTTTTTAATGGTAATTTATCATCAAAGATGATTTAAGTAAAATGATTAAGGTGACTAAGTACCAAAGGTAATTAAATATGTAAATCTAAGAAGCAATAATATAAACTACAAGGAACTAATCCATCTATATGAAAGATAATTATTTACTTTGCTTAAAAATTATCTCTTCCTCCTGTATTTCCTCTTTTTTTTTTCCACCTTCTTATCTTTCTAAGTAAGACAATATATCATCGATCAATAATAGGAAAACTATTCATGATATATTATATTTGGTATAGGACGGAATAATTAACAAACTACTGAATCAGGTTAACGATTATTATTATTATTATTATTATTATTATTATTATTATTATTATTATTATTATTATTATTATTATTATTATCATTATTGTTTATTCATTATTATTATTATTATTATTATTATTATTA